ACTCGAGCTCGAATAGAGTTTATTTGAGCTAAACGAGTCAAGCTGAACATGAGCTCACGAGCCAAATTCGAGCTCAAACAGGTTTATTTTAGCTAAACGAGCCGAGCCGAATTTGAGCTCGAGCTCTTAAAATTTTTAACGAGTCGAGCTCAAACACAATTTTTAGCTCGTTTTTCTTAACAAACGAAGCCGAGCTCAAACAAGCAAAACTCGGCTCAGTTCGGCTCGTTTACAGCTCTACTCCCAGCCATTATAAACTAAAATTGCAAACGAACCTAAGTTTGGTATGGATAGCATAACCCCCTTAACAACAACATATTTTTTCCAAGCTACGGAAGAGCAAAATAACACGAGATTTGATCTACATCAAAAGAGGTTTGCAGCTATCATCAACATTCTTATGTGTGGATAACTTATAAGCAAAATAAATTTAAAGTAAAATTCAACATGTATACGTGGTATAAAGGATTAATGCATGTTTAATGTTAAAATTTAATACTTGCTCCATCTACATCATACATATATCTTGAGCCATGCACTTTACATTATGTTGTTTCTATGTCTTGAGTTGGTCCAATCATAAAATCATCAATTGTAAATGATAATTACAAACCCCAGAAAAATTACAAATTTTAATTGCATGCTCCGAACAAATTATTTGAAAAGAGTAGAATTGTAAATATATATTTTTGTTGATTTTCCAAAAAATACAGCTAGTGACATGGATGTGCAAAGATCGGGACTTGCAATTCCGCATATTCCAATCGGACCAGTCTCCAGAGCTCGAGTGAAAGCATGCATTGAAAAATTGCAAGGCTTGATAAAGAAATTAGAGAATTGGAGCTCAACCGACGGATTATGTTACAACATACGAGGACTTGATGGAAAGCCTAGGGCGAGTGCCGTTGTTGTAAATGTTACATTGGAGCTTGCAACACCTCAATCGGACAACTAATGGAAAAGTTGTGCAAACCTAAAAGTTTGCTAAAATAGAGGGTTTAATATGTACTTATACAAACCTAGGTTTGCACATGCTCAAGTGGGGAGACCTATCCCTTGGGACCACTTATATATATATATAATAAGATCTCAAATGCTTTTCATATGCATGGGGAGACCATTAGCTAGGTGTCACTCACTGAGAGATTACTTATACAAAAAATATCCCACATTGGAAAATCACTCTACTTTCCCCTTTCACCACTCATATAAATAGGACCCTTAAGTGCTTTGTAAGATACACCAAACAAATATATTTTAATGAATATTTAATCATTTATGATCATTTCTTTTTATAAAAAGTTATGCTTGATAGCAATACTTTCTCTTTTAGTTTAATATTTTATGGAATGCAATTTCATTGCATGCTCCATGGGGTTTAGTTCCAAAATTCGAGTTTGAGTATAAAGCCTCAAGTTTGTGGCATTTGGGAAATGTGGAAGAGCTCTTCAAAATGTCGACCGAAATGGTGCCTTCGTAGAGGATGTTTCGATGCTAGAAAGATATCAGGTCATGTTTACGTTAGTACTTATTTAGGTTTTCTTCTCTTTCGATTATCCTTTTTCCTTGTTTTATTCATTCTGTTTAGTAAATTTGTTATTTTCTTGCTTAATTAGTTCTGTTTAGTTGTTTGTTATTTCTCGTTATTTATTAGTTAGTTCCGTTTAGTTAATTTATTCTGTGTCTTATGTAGTTGATTAATTCGGTTCATGACAGTTAGACTATAGGCGGAGCTTCCAAATACATATAATATTTTTTGATGATTTTGTATACATACAACTATAAAGCAATAAATTAAACAAATTAAAAACAAAATATCACTATAGTAATTTTTAAAAATAATCAGTAAGGAAAGTCCATCACATATATATATACTAGAACTTGTGTCACATTCTATCTCGTGCAAGTATTTTATAAACTAATGCAATAAAAATAAATTATATAATAATAATAATAATAATAATAATAATAATAATAAATAAATTATAATAAATTTGATAAGTAAATCATACGAGCCATCTCTTAATGTTGGAAAATTGGAGAGGACAATAAGGGACATCAACAGACATCTGGAGAGATTAAGGCTGTGTTTGTTTAGGGGTTTGAATTTTGAGTTGGAATTTAAATAGTAAAAAATTTGAATTTGAATAATTGTATGATGTGATATAAATAGGTGTTGATGTGATGTTGTGAATGTAAAATTGATTTTTAGTATAATATAGAAAATAAAAAATAGATATTTGATTTGATGTTTTTTAAAGGAAAATATAAGATGAATAATGGATTTAAAATCCAATCCCCCAAACAAAACAAAGAGAGAAAAATAAAAACGGAGAATCGACCTTAGCCGTGGAGTAAAACGAAAAATAAAAAAAAAAAGAAAAAAAAAAGTGGTAAAATGCGCTTGCATCAAACAGTGGCAAAAAACAAGCTGCAAATTTCAACAAAAATAGAATATAGATGAATAAATAAATGAAGAAGCATAACAGTAACTCACCAAAACAATAATGCCAGCTGAAACCAAACATACCAAAACATTAATATCCATGAAGTAGGATGGCCACGGGGGTGATGCTCACTAACACTTGGATAATTGGTATATATTTGCTCTTTTTTTATCATATTTCATTAGTTAATATATATATATACAAATATTAATTTTAATAAACCGGACCCGCCCAACATTCATGAGCTTGAGCATGGCCCGGTTCATTAGCATGCCAAGCTAAGCACAACCCAAAAAATTCCATATCGGATTCGGATCAAGTTTTTGGATCGTACTTATTTTCTATTTGAATTTTCGAACCGTGTCTATTTTTGCCAACAATAAATGTCATGTTGTCGTTGGCAAATTCAAGATTTAGCATATAGAATGCAATAAACATTGGGCTAACTCAAGTGTTTAATAGTGTAAGTGCAATGTCACAAAAGAGCAAATGAACCACAAATATTAAAGACATAATTGAAACATCTACATTTTAGCTCTAGGTTTACACTTAAACACCACGAGGGTAACATGCAAGCAAAAAGTATGTTTCTAACTGCATCAAAACTATGCTGAAGAAAGTAACTCAGACCCAGGAAAGGATGCAGCATACAGGGAATATTCAAGAATAAAAGATGGATTCATATTAATTAACATATTGACTAATAATAGCTGCCAATATTAATTTAAACATACATAGAAGAGTTTCGGCAGAGGAGAAAACAAAGCTATGAGAGCTAAGAAAAACAAGAAACTGTGTTAAAATATGAATGCCTATATCTCACTGAGAGCACACTTGTAAAGATCATAGATTCAGCTAATAATGCCACAAAATAATAATAATAATAATAATAAGCGTTGAAACCTTATCCATTAATGCATTTCCATAATAAAGATAGCAATACTGATAGTAGAGACAAATTATACTCGTTATACAACCAAACATTATGCAGCAGGCTGTACATTAAATCACTCCACCAAATGAAATTCTCCTTCCACAAGCACAAGAAATTAAACCAAACAACATTCCCGTCTCCCAGCAACCACCAAAACACAAAGCAAAGATTACCGACCATCGAAAAATCATTCAATAAAGCCACAATAAAGATCAACAGAATCACAATAAGTCTGCTCCTAATCTCAATACAAACATTGAAAACTCATTTATGACAGACAGAACAGAAGGGCTCGCAGCCATGCTCAACCAGCATCCCACAATTATGATATGGAGTTCTGAGCTATCTACATTCTTAAAAGTCCATTATCAATTTACATGCAAAACAATGAATGCAAAAGGCATGATGAAAGCCATGGACGTCTAAAGAATTAACAAGGTCAGTTGGGGCATAAACTTATTGGGCAATATATTATCAATGTGACAACATGAAGTTCTACAGATGCTGAAGCATCAATGGAACAAAACATTGAGAGTTCTTCTCAGGGCTTTAGTATCAAATATAAGCTTAGGCACACTGAATTCATTTCAATACAATCTCAAGTCATAAGAGACTGGAATAAATCTATTTCAAGTATAACTTAAAATTATATAGATTAAAATATATAATATTAATTAATTAAGCAAGTAACAGGCAGATTTATCTAAACTAAACTAATGACATGTACTAAAGTTAAACATAGAACTAGACTAATCGACGAATTAATCTAAACAAACAAACAAACAAAAAAGATCATAACTCCGGGCAGTAGGCTAAGACTGAAATGGCTAAAACTAAGCTAAAAGAGTACAATATACTAACCTAATCTAAACATATAGCAATTAAAGACATATTTTGGTTAAGTATATCGCGAAAGAGTGTTATGAGATACTACGATTCATTCAATTGATGCATATTAACTCTAGTAATATACTTCATCCTAGTTTGAAAAAGTTTCAGCAAACTAAGTTTACCAATAGTTGTGAAAAAAGATATAAGTTTTCCAACATCTAAAAAGATGTATATATATAATTCCTGTTGTACAATACGTACACGTAAAGTATACATATATATTGCATAGTATACTATGTGGATGCTACGTACATCACTATCATTTGCCTAATTAATGGTTGAATCCTATCCAAGCAATTAGGCGGTATAAATCTCCTATATATATATGTGTTGATACCATAAATGAAAGACACGCCTTAACATTTACTTTATCCTTCTCTCCCTGCATTCTCCATCATTACTTCTTTTATTAATATTACAATATACATATACATATATATAGCAACACCTAGCATACCTATATATATTTATATATATACACACTTGAGTACATATATACAATATCATACATATATTATAAAACATTAATATATATTTATATACAAAATAGTGATTAACAGTAGGGATAATTAATAATCCTATTTGTTATTCCTATAATATTAATATTTACAATACGATCAGCTTTTCCGGCACGGTAAGTATATTTCAATATTATTATGGCTACTAACATTGCAAAACAGGAATTTGTCTCACTTGTCATTTCTGGCAAAAATTATCTACCGTGGGCTATGGATGTTGAAATGCATCTGGAATCGATGGACCTGGGTGAAACGATTGTGCGAGGCAACAATGCCACCAATCAGAGCCGAGCGAAGGCAATGATATTCCTCCGACATCATATCAATGAAGGACTGAAAATGGAATATCTCACAGTCAAGAATCCTCATGACTGGTGGAATAAATTGAAAGAAAGATATGACCACCTGAAGTTGATCGTACTGCCAAAAGCACGTAGCAATTGGCATAATCTGAGGTTGCAAGACTTCAAATCTGTCACCAAATATAATTCCGCCATGTTCATGATCACTTCACAGTTGAACTTATGCGGCGAGAATATTACTGATGGTGACATGATGGAGAAAACATTCTCCATATTCCATGCCTCGAATGTGATTTTACAGCAACAATATCGAGAGAGAGGCTTCGGAACATATTCTGATCTCATTGTCTGTCTTCTGTTGGCAGAGCAAAATAATGAACTGTTATTGAAATATCATGCATCCAGGCTAACAGGTTCCAGCCCATCCCCTGAAGCGAATGCGGTACAATCTGCTAATCCAGGCCGCAGAAACAACAAAGGCCGGGGAGATGGCAGAGGCCAAAGACATGACCGTCCCCAGCCTCGTCGAAATAATGGCAAAAGACCATATAAGCCCCTGAAGTGGCAGAATGACGAGCGGAAAAGAAATTATGAAGATAAATGTCACAGGTGTTGTACAAAGGGCACTGGTCGCGTGTCTGCAGGACATCTAAGCACTTGGCTGATTTGTACCAGGCCTCGCTGAAAGGGAAAAACACATCTGCTGACGTAAATCTCTCTACACAGAACAATGACGACACATATGATGATGTCTTGAAAAACACATCTGCTGACGTGAATCTCGCTGAACAGAAGAGTGACGACACATATGATGATTTCCTGAATAACGACCTTATGCATTTGGATACAACAGACTTCCTTGAGCACCCTGAAGGTGCCAAGTGATTATGTAATTTACTGTCTTATTACTTTTTACCCCTATACTTATGTAATCCCCACCCTATTTGTATCATTTTGTATTCCATCGACTATATTAATATATTGTCTTTTTGTTTGTTTTATTCTGAAAAGAATATGGATGTCATGTGTCAAAATACACATTATAAATAGGACAATATTTGCCTAATTGATAGTACGACTACGCACACAATATTGAAATACAAAAAGTATTTCCCCCACCTGAAGTTGGGAAAATCAAAAGTCAGCACAATAAGTGGCAGTGCAACAATTGAAGGCTCTGGAAGAACCCTTATCAGTTTCCCCGCATGAATCAGACTTGAGATACAAAATGCACTGTTCTCGAGTAAAGCTCGAAGAAATTTGCTGAATTTCACTGATATTCGTAGAAACGGATATTATATTGAAACCATGAACGAGGCAAATAATGAAAATTTGGTGATTACAAAGATCATCAATGGAAATAAGTGTGCGATTGCGAAATTGCCTGGCTGTCCTCCGGTTTGTATTATGCCAAAATAAGTGTCATTGAAACATATACGGTAGACCTGAAGTCTATACAATCAAATACATTTTTGCTTTGGCACGACCGTCTCGGGCATCCTGGAAATACCATAATGAGGCGAATAATTGAAAACTCCATTGGCCATTCACTGAAAGATCGAAAGATCTTGAATTCAAATGAATTCCCATGTGTCGCATGCTCACAGGAAAATTGATAATCAGGCCGTCACCAACCAAAGTTGAGACTGAATCCCCAATGTTCTTAGAAGAATCCAGGGTGATATATGTGGACCCGTAGATCCACCATGTGAGCCATTTAAATATTTTATGGTGCTCATTGATGCATCAACAAGGTGGTCACACGTGTGCTTGCTATCTACGCGTAATATAGCATTTGCAAAGTTACTTGCACATATAATTAAATTGCGAGCACAATTTCCTGATTATCCAATAAAGAAAATTCGTCTCGATAATGCTAGCGAATATTCGTCACCAGCATTCGACGATTATTGCATGACTTTGGAGATAACTGTAGAGCATCCCGTTCCTTATGTTCACACCCAAAATGGTCTGGAAGAATCCTTTATCAAAAGATTGCAATTAATTTCCAAACCATTACTGATGAAATCCAAACTCCCCGTTTCTGCCTAGGGACATGCAATATTACATGCAACAGAACTTGTGTGAATAAGACCGACAAGCTATCAGAAATACTCCTCAACACAATTAGTGTTTGGAAAAAACCCAATATATCTCATCTGAGGATTTTTTGATGCGCAGTTTATATGCCGATTGCACCACCTAAGCGTACAAAAATGGGCCCCCAACGTCGTTTGGGAGTTTATGTCGGGTATGAATCACCGTCGATAATTAAATACCTCGAACCAATGACGGGTAATCTGTTTACTGCGCGATTCGCAGACTGTCATTTTGACGAAACAAATTTCCCGACATTAGGGGGAGAACAAAATCAACTGAAAAAAGAAATTTCTTGGAAAATACATATGAATCTCTTGGATCCTCGTTCACGGCAGTGTGAATTAGAAGTACAAAGAATTATACATTTGCAACAAATTGCAAATCAATTACCGGATGCATTTAATGACTCCAGCAGAGTCACCAGGTCGTACATTCCTGCAGCAAATCAACCGGCAAAACTAAATGTCCCAGAAGGACAAATGAAAAGTGCCAATGAATCCTCTGTGCGTCTGAAGCGTGGCAGATCTGTAGGTTCCAAGGATAAAAAATCCCCGAAAGAAAAGGATATTGAACAATGATTCAATCCCTCAAATAATTTGTAGTGATATAGAACAAATACCGGAAGAGGATGCTCCTGAAGAGCCTACCTCAGAAGAAAATGAAGTTATTGAAAATTCAATTAACTTTACCACTACAAATAAGAGTTGGAACCGAAATGAAACAATAATTGATAATGCATTTGCATATAACGTGGCACTCGATATAATAGAAAATAAAGAGGATCCCGAGCCAACATCAGTTGATAAATGTCTCAAAGAAACGATTGGCCAAAATGGAAAGATGCGATCCAATCTGAATTAGATTCACTGGCCAAAAGAAATGTCTTTGGATTTATAATTCCAACACCGGAAGGTGTTAAGCCAGTTGGGTGCAAATCGGTATTCGTGAGAAAGAAAAATGAGAACAATAAAATTGTCCGACACAAAACGAGACTTGTAGCCCAAAGATTCTCACAAAGACCTGTGATTGATTACAATGAAATATATTCTCCAGTTATGGATGGTATCACATTCAGATACCTAGTAAGCCTAGCAGTGCACGAAAAACTTGATATGCGCCTTATGGACGTAGTCACTACTTATCTGGACGGCTCACTGGAGAATGATATTTATATAATAATCCCTGAAGAATATGACATGCCTGAAGCATGCAAATTTAATCCCAGAGAATGTTAATCCATCAAAGTACAAAAGTCTCTGTATGGACTTAAACAGTCTGGACGCATATGGTATAACCGCCTCACTAAGTGTTTAACCAAATAAGGTTACACGAATGACCCAATATGTCCATGTGTTTTCATAAAGAAAAATGGATCATAGTTCGTGATCATTGCAGTGTATGTTGATGATCTTAATATTATTGGGACTTCTGAAGAGCTCCAAACAACCGTGGAATATCTAAAAAGGGAATTTGAGATAAAGACTCTGGAAAGACAAAGTTCTGTCTTGATCTGCAAATTGAATATGTGGATAATGAAATATTCATCCACCAAACCGTTTATACCCATAAGATATTAAAGCGATTTTATATGGATAAAGCACATTCATTGAGTACCCCAATGGTCGTTAGGTCACTTGATCCTAACAAGCATCCATTTAGACCTAAAGAAGATGATGAAGAGATACTTGGTCCCGAAGTACCATATCTTAGTGCAATAGATGCACTCATGTACCTAGCAAATAGCACAAGGCCAGATATTGCATTTGCAATAAATCTATTGGCTAGATTCAGTTCATCTCCTACTAAACGACATTGGAATGGGGTTAAGCACGTTTTACACTATCTTCAAAGGACGAGTGATCTCGGCCTATTCTATCTATACTAAAAAAATTTTACCCATGACTTGCAAAAGAATTGTGAAATTGATATGCAACAAATCCAATCATTTGATAATTTTGCTAGGTGTATGGGGGGTGCCCATAGCTATAGGAAATGCAATGTCCAAATTATGCCTTCTTTTAAGAAGGCCAAACAAACAGCTTCAAAGTAAACAATGTAATAATCCAGCCATCAAAACATAAAATACTAGACGAGATACATTTGGAGAACTTTGCATAGACATTTTAAAAACCACTGCACTGCAATTATGGAATCAAGAACATGTTGCTGAAATTCAAAAATATGTTTGCACATCAAGAACATATCATATGGTTTCAAGTATGGTGATGATAAACTAAATAGCTTTCTCAATCAAAATCATGCCAGATAGCTGCTACTTGAATTCAAGCACGTGCAGCAACAGGAGGTCCACCGGGGCGTGGAGCTTGACCCGGCCGAGGCATGTCATCCTGTAGATGCAGAAACATAGCGATAAATCAACTACGACACACTGATGTAGTAAAAGATAAAGAAAACTCAAGAAAGAAGCTTGTGGGATATGTCCCCGACTCAAAACTCAGAAATTGCAATTACACAAAAGGGCAAATTTTCCGTGCTATGGTCCCTCACGACATGCAAATAAATAAATGCCTACAAATCTGATCCCAGAAACACACATCTTTTCATGCTGCAAAATGAATTGTACCTCAATCAAACAAAATCCAGTTACTGAGGGGACTATTCGATCTAGTCGATTCAGGAGATATCAACTAAGTTACGTCAAAGCATGTGATAGCTTTAGTATTTCGAAGATGCATCTATTACTCTAAGAAAGTAAACTTAGCATCCACTATAGATTAAAGCAACAAAAAATTCAAGTAAAAAACTATGATTCGCACTATTAGAAGAAAACAATTATGCAAGGATTAAAAACTAACCCTTGGGCGTCTGAAGCGCTGTGGGGGCTCACGAATCCTCCTGTCAGTACGCGAACGGACACGAACCACCTTGGAGTGAATGGCACATGAGACGCAATACTGCATCTTCACATACAGCTTGGGAAGGGTATAGGCTGAATTAAGCATGAAATGGCACATTATAGCATAGCTGGCTCTCACTTTTGTGACATACCTACGGAGAAACAATTACCAAGCACAGACTAGAGGAAAACCTAAATCAAATGGAGCAAGAACTTACTATCAAAAGCACATGCTTCTTGGACATCCCTTACAGCAGCTTGCTCCACGATGTTTCTCACCAGAAACCTCTTGATGGCTTTGTCCTATCCAACAGGGTTATGGTAAACAACAATTCAACTATCCTATTTTTCTTTTTTTAATAATAAACTCAGATGCTAGAATAACTGAACAAGAATATTTCAGGAAGTACTAGCATAGACAATCAAGAATTTTTGAAACCAATTACAATTCTCAAAAGAAACTTAATGTATAATGTGATGAATGCAATGAATCTTAATAGCTTCGTTTGCAAGTACCGAGATACAAAAACACATACATTGACCACATGTCAGAAAATCAATACAGGATTTCAGACACCTAAAACCTTATTTGATTATTATATG